AACGAGATTCCAGTGTCATATTTCTTGTAGACGACCGAGATAATCCATCAGTCGGATGCTTTTTTGTTGTTTTTGTCATGCATTAGCAGTAAATAAACAAAGAGCTGGCGAAATTTCCGACTTTTTTCTGATAAAATAATAAGCGATGAATAGAACTGATGATTCAAAATCAACTGAACCATTTTTAGGACGAAACGTCTTTTTTCTTTTTTTTCCTGTCAAATTTTTAAGCCGTCAATGAATATTTGGTTCATTTAGTGGAAGAATTCAAGGCTGGTAGGGTAAGGTGGCGGTCGAACTAAACCTTCTCGGTGAGGACTCCATTATACAGAAACATAGGTGAGATGGATTGGACGGAGGTTGAATAGTAATTGTCGGTAGGAGTTATTTGCCAAGTATTAATTGAGTGTTATGAGGTAGATATTACTAACAGAAGAGGTATAAAACACCGTAGTATAGAAGAAAAGGTTAGATCTAATGCCGGTCAGAATGAGCATGGAAAAAACGTCAGCGAACTACTCCACTGTGTATTTGCTTAACTTTCAGCGTAATTCTCTCACCTCTACCTTCCCCAGCGCTTCCCCACACCTCCCCTTTTGTTCCAGAATATTCGCAGAACCCTCGGAGGCTGACCTCAGTCTTTTTGTGTAGAGTTTATGGCAAAAAAGAAGGTCTTGGGGTTTTTTAACGATAACATCCACTTAGGAAAAGATAGGGACGAAAAAAAGGCAAAGATATTCTGTGTTTGACGACTCATCACCGTAGTAATCGATAAGAAAAACTGAAGTGCATAAACAAACATTGACAATTATTGGAACCTGTCATAATGCACTCAAACCGGTTCTTTCTCCAAACAATTGAGGTGAATTTTTTGGCAATAATTTGAAAAATACTGAAGTTACCAGGTAAATTTTGTATCAGGGGCAACTACGTGAACACTTTTTCAGTCAATTTTTTCGACCCCCTCAAAAATTCTCTTTATTTTTCACAATTATGCTGGACTTCTGTCAATAATTAGAAAAATAGAAGTCACCCAACAGATTCAGTATTAAGGACAACCACGTGAACACTTTTTTGTCAAACTGGTTTTTTTCGACTTCCTCGAATATTCTCCTTATTTTTCCAGTTGGTTTTTGGTGGCGACAAAATTCGGAGAGGACAATTGCCTAGGTTTTCCTCAGTATTATTTATTTATTTATTCAGTATTTATGCTTAACAGTAAGATGATATTTACCTAATTGGCCGCTCCAGTCGCGAGGCAAAAAATACGGTATCAAATGAGAAATCATCTCGTATTAGCTCAGCCGCTCCGCTTCAGCCTGGGATTCCATTATGTGATCATCAGTGCTAATAAACAATAGTGCATTTTCATGTGTTTGTCATTTTGTGGGCATTTATTGAATAATTTTTGGGAATGCGCCATGTTATCGAACTTTGCCAGAATCGCAACAACAATTAAATGGTTAAATGGTCTACACTTCGAACAGCCGGGGTTAGGAGATAAATGAAATCATTGCTCTGAGACAGCTCTGATTCATGTATGTCAATCGGCTTTAAAAAATTGCGAAAAAAAAA